TTAATCTAATTTTATTTATTTATTTATTTGAGACAGAGTTTCGCTCTTGTTGCCCAGGCTGGAGTGCAATGACGCGATCTCAGCTCACCACAACCCCTCCCGGGTTGAAGCGATTTTCCTTCCTCAGCCTCCCGAGTAGCTGAGATTACAGGCACATGCCACCACTATGTCCAGCTACTTTTTGTATTTTTAGTAGAGACGGGGTTTCACCGTGTTAGCCAGGATGGACTTGCTCTCCTGACGTCGTGATCCACCCACCTCGGCCTCTCAAAGTGCTGGGATTATAGGCATGAGCCACCATGCCTGGCCTTGTTTACCCTTTTATAACATGATCCTTTTAGCTGGTAAACAGATAAACCAACCTGGCTTTGCAAGATTCAATAAACCATTGCTGATGTTTGCATATTATGAGACTCTTGTGAATGATTTTAGTTACTATGATGCTATTGTTTTAGCATTCATGGTCATTATTATGTAAAATATTTTTACAACTTGTAACAATGTCAGATGTTCACAAACTAGGGATGCAAGTGTTTACACTGAAAAATGTGCCCCCAAATCAATAGCGTTTGAAGGGAAGTTATATGTGATAAGATACTGGGAAGGAAGGAAACCAAATTCTATGAAACATGGTGCAGTTAATACAGGAGACAGCACTCCATGAAATATTAGATGTAATGCTGGGAATAGAAAAAACAGCTTTAAAGCAAAAAATATGTTACAACTTGTAAAAGTGCTCTGAGAATACATCTGTCTTATTTTATATTTATTCCCTTGAGAAAATCATTCTTGAATTATGCAAGTTCGAATTATACAAGGTCTGGCAAGACACATCTTTTGTATGAAATAAGACCTCCCCACATTTTTATAACCACAAGTAATCTAACTTAAAAAAAAAAAGTCAGTGCTGCTCTGCACTTAAATAAACAACTTCCAGATTGTCTTTTTAATAGGAAAACTGCATTTTTAGATTATATAATCCATCAGTCTAAATTGCTTAGAAAGTGCCTAGCAAAGTCCTCTGTGCATAGAGGTGTAAAGGAAATGTTTCTTAATGATAAGAATCAGATAGTTAATATTTCGAAAGCATTTTGTTCAGACAAGTGGAGAGCTAAATTAATTTTCTTGAACTGTTTAGGAGAATGCACGGTTATTAATCTAATTCAGCTTCTTCTTAGTGCAAAACCCACAGGAATGTTACCGTGTAACAGTCAGCTGTCCACATGATTTATGCTATTTATTATTTTTAAAAGGAGGAGTGTTTTGCATTTCTTTTTATTTCCATGTGATAACCTCGGCAGAGTGAAATCTCATTTCTAGTTTCCACCGTGCAATAAAAACAGGTTTGGCTTTTCAAGTTCAGTCGTGTGATTTGTGTGTGTAGTTTCAATTTGTGATGTGTCAGCCAGTGAACAGCTGATTTAATAACAGTTAAGAACCTCTACTATGTAGGAATGACTGAAGCGATGTTTCTTTAGATCAATAGTATTGCCTGGTTTTAGTGAGGAAATAAATCATTTTGCCACATGGTTGCCAAAATGTGAGAGGTTTTTGGATCGATGACACAAACCTATGTTATCTTTGGAGAGACTATGAGACCTTAGTTCATCAATCAAATCAACTTTAATTAAATCTAATTTAATGGACTACTGCCTAATAAAAAGAACACTTGAAAGAAAGTCATAGTTGAAGTGCACAGGGCTTTTCTTTTCCTACAAAGTAGTGAATCCACTAAGAAGAAGGCAGCACCTCAGTGGAGCTGCCTGCAGGCTCTTCCTGCTGATGAATTTCTGAGAGTGGCTTCCCTTCTGATATTCTTGCTCAGAATGAGAAGGTAGGACCTGAGTTTTACCTTTTAATGTGAGCAAAAGAAGCTGCAGGCTATGTGGGCAGGAATGAATGGATCTCTAACTAGGTTTTTGGTGTTGAAAAACAGGGATCATCAAGAAACCACCCCCCTTTACCTCTACTCTTTCACATTTTTTTTTTTGTGGTAAATATTTATTTTAGCCATTTTGAAGCACGCAGTGTAGTGGTATTAATTATATTCACAGAGTTATGCAACTGTCGCCACCATCTAGTTCCAAAACGTTTCTATCACCCCCAACAGAGACGATGTTCTTTAAACAATAACCCCTCATTTTCTTCTCCCTCAGCCCCTGGTAACTTTCTTCTTTTTTCCTTCTTCTTCTTCCTTTCCCTCCTCCCTCCTCACAACGCCCCCCCCCCTTCCTCCACTTCCTCCTCCTCCTTTTTCTTCTTTTCTTTGACAAGGTGTCACCGGCCTATGCTGGAGTGCAGTGACACACAGCCCATTGCAGCCTTGACTTCCTGGGTTCAGGTGATCCTCCCATCTCAGCCTGCTGGTTAACTGGGACTACAGGCACTCACTGCCATGCCTGGCTAATTGTTTGCATTTTTTTTGTTGTTGTTGAAAGAGTCTTGCTATATTTCTCAGGCTGATCTCAAACTCCTGGGCTCAAGCAATCCACCTGCCTTGGCCTCTCAAACTGCTGGGTTTATAGAAGTTGGCCACTGAGTCCAGCCACCCCTGGTAACTTTTTTTTTGTTTTGGTTTGGTTTTGAGACAGAGTCTTGCTCTGTCACCCAAGCTGGAGTGCTGTGGCATGATCTTGGCTGACTACAACCTCTGTACCCTGGGTTCAAGCAATTCTTATGCCTCAGCCTCCTGAGTAGCTGGTACTAGGAGGTGTGCACCATCATGACTGGGTAATTTTTGGATTTTTTATAGAGATGGCACTTCGCCACGTTGGCCGGGCTGGTCTTCAACTCATGTCCTCAAGTAGGCCACCCACCTCAGCCTCCCAAAGTGCTGGGATTACAGGAATGAGCGGCTGCACCCACCCCTGGTATCTTCTTATCTATTTTCTGTCTCTTTGAGATTTCCTGTTCAAAGGAAAAGATACCTCATATAAGTGGAATCATACAATATTTGCTCTTTCGTAACTGACTTATTTCACATAGCATAGTATTTTCAGGGTTCATCCACGACGTAGCATGTTTCAGAACTTCCTTCCTTTTAAAGCTTGTTCCTGGGAAACCAACCCATGGCAGCAGTATGACAGTCGTATGACACACGGGTATGAGAGAAGGAACGAGGGCAGATGTGGTCTGCGGGTCATGGGGAAGATGGCCTTGAGGTAGTGATGTTTGAACAAAGCTCTGAAGATGAATTGGTTCATGGTTCCACAGGCTGTACAGGAAGCACAGTGGCTTCTGCTTCCGAGGAGGCCTCAGGAAGCTTCCAATCACAACAGAAGGCAAAGAGGGAGCAAGACACTTCTCATGGCTGGAGCAGGAAGAAGGGAGAAAGAGATGACCTAGGTAAAGAGGAGAATGGGGCCGGGTGCAGTGACTCACACCTGTAATCCCAGCACTTTGGGAGGCCGAGGCGGGTGGATCATGAGACCAGGTGTTCGAGACCAGCCTGGCCACCATAGTGAAACCCTGTCTGTACTAAAAATACAAAAAATTAGTCGAGTGTGGTGGCGGGCACCCGTAATCCCAGCTACTTGGGAAGCTGAGGCAGGAGAATCGCTTGAACCTAGGAGGTGGAGGTTGCAGTGAGTCAAGATCTCGCCACTGTACTCCAGCCCCGGGAACAGTGTGAGACTCTGTCTCAAAACAAAAAAAAAAAAAAAAAAAAAAAAAAAAAAAAAAAAAAAAAAAAAAAAAAAAAAAAAAAAGGAGAATGGATGGTGTTCCAGGTTGAAGGAAGAGCAAAAGGAAAACCTGAGGCAAAAAGAAGTATGGGGCCTTTAAAGACCTGGCTGCTGGCCGGGTGCACTGTCTCACGCCTGTAATCCCAGCACTTTGGGAGGCCAAGGTGGGAGGATCCTTTGAAATCAGGAGTTCAAGACAAGCCTAGCCAACATGGTAAAACCCTGTCTCTACCAAAAATACAAAATTAATCGGGTGTGGTGGTGCACAACTGTAATCTCAGCTAGTCGCAAGGCTGAGGCAGGAGAATTGCTTGAACCTGGGAGGTAGAGGTTGCAGTGAGCCAAGATCTTGCCACTGCACTCCAGCCTGGGTGATGGAGCAAGACTCCATCTCTAAATAAATAAATAAAAGTAAAGGCCTGGCTACAGAACAAAGTGCCAGGAATGGGTGACCTGGGGAAGGTGCTAGATCACGCAAAGCTCTTCTAAGGCCACATTAAAGATAGTGGATTGGAGAGGAGTAAGATAGTGGATTGGAGAGGAGTGTGTGTGTGTGTGTGTGTGCGTGCGCACATGTGTGCACGTGCGCATGTAGGCACACATGTGTGTGACAGAGAGCATCGTGTGTGTTTCGAAAAGTCATTCTGGCTGATGAGTTAGGGGTTAGAAGGGAAAAATAGCTGGGATGTCAGAAAACTGAGTCTGGTCAAGAGATGCTGTTTCTTGGACTTGTGTCATTGCTGCTGACGTGTGGAAACTGGATGGATCCATGAGAGGTTGCAGAGAGAAAATTACTTAAGATGGTCAATTTTGTGTTACATGTATTTTACCACAACTTAAAAAAGTCATCAGGCCATGGTGATTGGATATGGGCAGAAAGGACAGGAGTGACGAGGATTTTGGGGCTGGAAAAAATGGATAAATAGTTTCTTGGAGGAGCACTAAGTTTGTGTGGGTCCATGAGTTCAGTTCTGGACAGTCTGATGTGCGGATGCTATTTATGGAAGTGGATATATAGATCTTGGCCTGAAGGAGACATATGACCATCAGGTCCATGCTGAATCCTAGTCATCAGGCTGGAGCTCAGATGCAGGTCTTAATGCTTGGGAGGAAGTGGCAAGACTAATGCAGGGTTCCAGGCATAAACAATCTTGTTAGACAGAGAAGGCTCCTATTAACGTAACTGAGTTTGGGAATAATAAATGCTATCGGAATTGGCAAATGAAGTCAAGGGCAGAAACAATGTTTCCCAATTGCAGGCTTGGGCCCTAAAAGATCCCATGATCTCCTCATCTTGGTTTTATTCCTGCTTTACAGGAATCTAAAACATTCCTGGAAATGGAGAGTCCTGAGATGATGGAGCTCATAATGAAAAGAGCTCAGATTCCTGAGTCACCACGGGGACACGAGGCACCAGGGAGAAAACACATACACCTTAATAAGTTTGGGGTGAGAGAGAAATAAACTTTAAGTATGTTAAGCTTCTGTGATTACAAGGTAATATAGTATGGGAGACAGAAAAAGGGCCCACCCTCCCCTGATACCCATTAAAGATGTCCAAATCCTCATTTCTGGAACGTGTGAATATGTTAAGTTACATGACAGTAGCAGTCACATGGCAGATCGAATTAAGGTTTGTATTTGTCTGTTCTTATACTGCTATAAAGAAATACCTGAGACTGGGTAATTTATACTGAGACTGGGTAATTTATAATGAAAAGATGATTAATTGGCTCATGGTTTTGCAGGCTGTACAGGAAGCATAGTGGCTTCTGCTTCTGGGGAGGCTTCCGGAAGTTTCCAATCATGTTAAAAGATAAAGGGGAAGTGAAGTACTTCACATGACTGGAACAGGAGGGGGAGAGAGAGAGAGAGAGAGAGAGAGAGAGAGAAGTAGGGGAGATGCTATACACTTTTAAACAACCAGATCTTGGAAGAACTCACTCACCATCAAGAGAACAGCACCAAGGGGATGGAGCTAAATCACTTATGAAGGATCCATCCCCATAATCCAGTCACCTTCCACCAGGTCCCACCTCTAAAAATGGGGGTTACAATTGAACATGAGATTTGTGCAGAGACACAGGTCCAAACCATATGAAGTTTGCAAATCAACTAACCTTAAAAGTCTCCTGGATTACCCTGCTGGTCCTTATCACTGGAGCTCTTAAAAGCAGAGAACCTTTCCCATCTGTGGTCAGAGAGAGATGTGATAAAGAAAGCAGCGTCAGACAGATGTGACATTGCTGGCTTTGTTGAGGATAGAAGCTAGGGAATGTGGGCAGCCTCTAGAAATTGACCTCATTTAACTAAATTACTTTTTTAAAGGTCCTACCATTCTGAGAGGGGATCCGGACTTCATATAAATTTTGGGGTGACACAAATCAGTCCACCATTTCAAGACTGTAGACTTTTAGATTGTTGCAATCATGAAAATGCAAATCATGTTTTTGTTCCATGAGTTTGAGATATACTTCACAATTAGTTCTGTCATCATCTCACACCAAAAGCACAGCATGGGCAGAGCAGAAGATCGAGCTCCTGGAGAACTCTCAGGAGGCAGGCATTTGGGGCCAGTGTAATGGAAAAGCAATGCTGGGGAAACACCAATTTGAAATACTTCCTTGCAATCAGCTTTGGTATAAGCCATTAACCCAGGTGAGTAGTGGAGCCCGTGCTTGCTCTGCACTCAGCTTTTCCTCCTGTACATATTCCTTATAGCCTCTTCTGATACTGGTCAACAGAAATGTCCATCAAAGCCCCAACACATAACTAGAAAATGTTATTTTGGAAAATACAAACTATGGAAAACCCCCATAGCCATTTGTAGTTTTGTAAAGTTATAGGTTCAAGGAAAAACCAGCCACAAAACCTGCCCATTTTATTATAATAATAAATGAAATTTTATACAAAAGTATCTATGGCATGTGGGCAGGCCTCAGGTTTTGCTCTGTGTCTCTGGAGACTCTATGCTGTCATGTAGATTACTGCAGAAGGCAGGGTTAATCTTAGATGCTTTGGAGGTTACACTCTTGTTTGAAAGAAATTACAAACCAGACTAAGAATATAAAATATATGCAAAACCACAACATCTGTAAACCTTTATAATCATATAAGTAGTAAAATTATGTTTGAGGTCATAAAATAGCCATAAATGTACTAAGTATATAGATTATAAATAGGCACTAATGTATTACATTATACGGTATACCTGGGTTATGTTAAAAATACAACTTCAATATATCATAAATTTGATTCATATCTAGCATGTAGACAAACATACAATCAACATTAAATTGGTTTGACTTATAATTTCAAGGTGTGGTTGAGCCTGTTTCTCAAAATCTTTCATAATACTGTTCAAGGAAGGTAGGACTGTCATTGTTTGTTTTTTGTTTTTTTTTTTTCTTTTTTTTTGTAGCGGTATCTTTTGTAGTTAATAAAGGAGTTCTTCTCAGGGTTACTCTCACAGTTGGATTCATTCTTTTCATTGCAGCATCTTTATACATTTAAAGATAGACCCTGTGTAGATTACATGGAGTTTGAGATTTGCTGTCTGTTGAGTCTATTCCTTGTTTGTCTTTGTTAACTCTATCTCCAACTTCCCACACCAGCTGTCATCCAAATGTCATTTTTTGACTGCCCCAAACCACATCTACTTTCTGGTTTCAGACTCCTCCAATGTAGTGTTGCGGAGAGTGGGGCGAAGAGGGGAGGGAGGCGGGGTCCTCCTCACAGCACAGAGCCTGAAACTGAGAGAGCCTCCCCATCCCTGGCCCTTGACAGCCGGAGTGAGCGACAGGACCCTCCAGCCTGGACTTCGAATGCCCAGGGAGTGATCCAAAGATGCAGAACAGCTGAGAGACCATGCCCTCTGGTGTTCAGAGTCCATGTTGGCCTTGGCCTTGAGTGTCCAATGGAAGCAGAGCCAGCAGCGCTGTCCTGGAGCCATTCTTCCTGCTGTCCAGCCTAGTTCCTGACCATTTTCCAAGCTCACTTCTTTAGTCATCCTGTGGATTCCGTGTGCTATTTGGCAGCCTTCCAACAATTTTCCTTTTGCTTAAGTTTCTGTGGCTTGCAGCTATCTGTTGTACAGGGAGTGTCAGACAATGAAGGCTGGTATGGGCATGGCATACGTTTGCCTGGGGCGTGGAACGGAAGAGTGATGCTGTGATGCTGAGCTGTCCTTCTCAGGTTTTTGCATTTTACACACTGCTGACGTTCTTACCAGAATGGTAACTTCAGGCATTTTTATGGGAACATCCTTACGTTGCATTTCGTCGAAGACCTGAGGCCCCAAGGTTCTCAGTGACGACCTCTTTCATTTCTCCCCTCTTTCTGTCGCCCACATTCACTCACTCAGTGTTTACTAAGTAATCACTATCTTCCCAGATCAGCTGGGTCAGCTAGACATCACGTTTGATCCTGGCTTCTGATGTGAACGTCTGCTCCTGGATGTTTGGATCCAGGCCATGTGTCTGGAGCTCCCCTTTCCTTCTTTTGCTGATCTTCCCATCCAGAACTCCCCCTTTTCCCTCTGATATCTGGCATCAGCTAGGAAACCTGGAGTTCAAACGCCAGTTTGGATCTCAGTGAGGCCCTGTGCTGCTTGTACAGACCTCTCTAGGCTTGCTCCAACAGAAGAGGAATTTGCCAGATTTATATTTAAGTCACCAAAGGGTCACTCAGTGACTTGTTTAGAACAAAGAGGTCTGCTCCAAACTGAAGAATCTAAGATCTACTGTAACTCCTGTGATGTAGTTTCTTTGAGGCAATAAAACAATGGTAGTTAAGGATCTTGAATGTGAACATTAACTTGGCCTTGAGGGTCTTGGTTCTACTGCTTAATTGTTAGGCATGGTAGCCTCATGTGGAGAGGGCAGGGCAGGTCCTATTTTTTTTCCCTAGAAATCCTATGCCTAGCTCAGTGTATCTATATCTATTTTTAAGAATAAATGAATTCTTTCTTCCATGGGGTCTGCATTCAGGAAATGATTTTCCTTAAATACTGAACCTGGAAAGGTTTTAGGATAGAGAGATCTAACCAACAAGATTTAAAGTCCAGAGACACTTCCATCTATTCATTAGGTTATTTCAGATTTGTGTCTTTGGCTCTATTACACTTGTGGAATTCATCACATTGGACTTATATAAAACAAGGTCAATTTATTAATTTACAATGTGTAATTACCTAGTGCAGCTGTCTGCAAATGGTATTCCCTTTCTGGGTATTTCTCAGATAACTAAATTTAGATAAGAATACCGCCAGGTAAATATGTCATTAGACTCCAAAGGGAGTCATCTGTCCCCAAGGGGTATTTCTAGCAAGCTATGGTAGCTTCACAGAAATACCTTTCTTGTCTCTGGGGAGAAGGAGTATTTCTGTTCAGCCATTGTCTGAGAGAAAATAGCACAGCAGCTCAGGCTTGGCTTGGGGACTTCTAGCTTTTATATTGTATGTGTTTAATTTTTTCAGTGCCCTGTCCTCCCCTGGATTCAGAAAACCTATACAGCTCACAGCAGTATCAGATAATGGTTATTTTTACCTTGGTATGAATTCAAATCTATGTATTATCATTCTAAGGCATTTTATATTTTGAAGCTCACTTCAAAATATGGGCCTCAAAGCATTGCTCCTATAGAAGGAAATCCATCGATCAGTGAGTGCTCGGGAAATATATTTCTTGGTCACAGGCAATTGGTCCATGTTACTGACACTGGCCCACATGGACAGGCTCCTATCCTGTCTGTAAATAGGAAGATTCCATTTCTGCTTGAAAGATCCAGGATCATTGTGTGAAATTACGTAACTGTGGAGTGTGTTTTCTGGCAGAAACACTGGCATTGTTCCTCAGCTATGTTTTGCTAAACTCCATGAGGTCATTCACTCATCTTTGCCTCTTAACTTTCCAACTTCCTAAGTACACATCCATGTGAGGGCTTTTACTGCTGTTCTGTTTTTGTTCTGCCTAGAAAATGGTCTCCCAGGTAACCGCTCCTGTACTTCTTTCGAGTCTCTGCTCAAATAGCATCTTTTAGAGAGACCTTCCCCTGTGTCCACCTAGAATGGTGGCCCCATCTGTTCGTCTACCTTCATACTACTCTCCTTTATTTGTAGCCCTTATTACCATCTGCCAACAGGTTATGCATCAAGTTATTTATTAACTGTCTTTCATATTAGCTTCATGAGGGCAGAGGATTTTGGTTCATCTCTGCTTTTTAGGTGAGTGCCTTGCACATAGCATGCTCTCAGTAAATATTTTTCGCCCACCAAATGAATTAATGAAGGTGTTAAAATGTACTAATCCCAAGTTCAGAGGTTATTTTTTCTGGATTATTCTGCAGCTGGGCGCTTTCTTTTCTTTGTTTTTTCATCCCTCCCTTCATTCTTATTTGTCCTCCTAAAATAAATGTTTATGGAGGCATTGAAATCCCAGACTGAAAAAGGTTAATTCTAGAATGGTTTTCCATGGACCGTGAGTGCTTGCTGTCTT